GATGTTCAGCTTGTTTCCCTCAGTTCATGATGTGGTGTCTACCACAGGGCCACGTACACAGTGCAGTTATCCTTAGTGTGCCTCCTCTGCACAGCACCAGAATCTGGACTTCTTACGTGTGGTGGTGAAGGCAACTGACTAACTTCTCTTTTATTAAAGAAACAAAGCCTTAATTTATCGGACCAGGTGTGTAGCACTGTTGATATATAGAAGTATTTTTGTGGTATCTAGTGTGCCACTGAGAACTAGACTTATTTGAATTGCAATTGCTTGCTTTATAGATTGGGAGCGTCTGAGTACTACTTTTATTTTTGGCCCTTTAAAGGCCACTAACTGTTTTTAGACAAATACAATATATGCTGGTTTTTCTTTTTTTAACTGCTCTGCTTCATGTCTCTCAGTGCAGCAGGGGTGAGTGAACTGCCCTGACTGCTCCGTACGTTGAAGAGAAATGCTTTGTATTAGGTCCGTGATACCCAACGTGCAATGGGTGGGAAGACACTTAATACTAAATACATTATTGACAGGTGGGTGGGTAAAGTATTCGGCTTCCCAGGTCCATTTTAAGATCAGTGTAATAAAAATTAATTTCACAGCTGTTTAGTAGCAGATTATCTTAAAAGTGCTTGCAAGTACAGGGGGGGGGCTATGACTGAGCACAGCTGTAGCAGCGACGGGCTGTAGAAGTGTTACCAAGGTGCTACATGATCTGGGGGGTTCCAGACACTTTCTTCCCTGTGGAGTAAGTATTTCATAGGATGCCCATCATCTTCTCCTCTTCCAGTTTGTGTGTCAAAGTTTAAAAAAAAAAAAAAAAAAAGCCTTCCAGATACCTTCTACTGTATTAGTGAACAGCATACATAAATAATGTTTTCCATTCACCAGATATTGGTTTTATCTTTCTATTATCTTGCTCACGTCTAGTGGCTTGTCTGTGATTAATGGAAATGGTGTCAGATGCTGGAATTTATTCTGACCAATGAACACAGCTGACTCAGGGGAGCAAAATCTCTTGGAAAGTAATAGAACAAAACCCAATATGCATAAAACAAATCCAAGTCACTAGGCTTTAGCTGATAGAACCAACTACCTGTGTAATAACGAAGCAGCAGAAAACATTTCTCATGTGGCTGCATAAGCTATATGGTATCTAGTTCTAATATAGCTTATTTTGGGGGGTTCTCACCTCAACATTATGGGGGAGTTTTTAATTAAGTAATGTATTATCAAACAGACATCAACATGATTAATACTTGGATTTGTGCAATGAAGGAATTCTACAGTGTATAATTTTAAATAAATTTATTTTTGTTTGAAATGGGTTTCACTTAGAAATCTCCTTTCTGTATTTGGCGCAGAATTTTTTTACTCAGTTTTAATTTCTTGATTGTGTATAACTGTCATTCCAAATACAAACAATTAAGTTTTTCATCCTCCTCCATTTGGGAAAATAATGAACATCCTCTGCAGACTACTTCTGTGTATTCTGGGAAAAGTATTCATATTGAAACCTGAAGGACTTAAAAGTTATCTGAAGCTACAGCTTCTGGTTCCTGTGTTTTGACTACCTGTGTCAAAAAGTTTCTGGTCAGCCTTTCCTGTCCTGTCTGACAGGGAAACAAAATTAAGCTTCTGTGCAGTGCCTGAGAGTTTCTGGGCTTTGCCTTTGACTCTTGATTTATCTTCTGTGCTGCTTCCCATGCTGGAGAAGGGAGCAGTGATGTTTGCTGAGGGACGTGAGGAGAGCTGCTGGCACTGGAGAGGGGAGGGCAGGACAGGACGAGGCAGAGCTGGCTGTACGCAGCCTTTCCGACCCACTCGCTCCTTGCTGTGGCCAAGCCCATAGCATCTGAAAAGGAGTCTCCAGATCTGAAGTCGCCTGGGAGCTGGCTGGCTGCGAGGCATCTGTTGGTTCCGAAGCACACAAATCTTTGACTCGAGATGGAAGTCATTTAAATTCATGTCACTAGTGGCTTACAGTGCCTGTTCCATTTTCAGAAGTGAAATCTTTCCATTGCAGCGACAGCAAATGACATGCAGAAGTAGCTGTAGTTTACTACAGCACCAGGGGTGCCGCTGCCTGTGCACACATGCCTTTATTACATAAATCCACAAAACTGCATAAAGGAAGGACCAAAGTCCTCAGTTAAATGTTAAATGGCATCAATAATTCTAAAATGTTCAAATTTTGCATCCAAGTTAAAAATTCAGCTGACCCACTGATTTGACAATTATTAAATTTAATTTTTTATTTCAGAAAGCATGAATTCTCTTTAACAGAAACAGAAAACAGCTTTTGGGGCAGGAGGAGGTTGTTGCTTTGCACATTTAAGTGAGCCTATGGCAAGCTTAGGAATACTTATTTGGAAAGTTGAATTAACATTCTGATAACTCATAGGTAAACTTTCATTGTTTGTTAATTTTAAATTTTTCTAAACTCTGATCATTTTAAGTCTCTCTGCCAGTTTTGGGGGTTTTACAACTGATCAGTTTCATCTTACAAGACACATGAAGACAGCAAACTCCCAAATCTGCTGTGATGCAGTCAGATGGTTGCAGCTGGAAGAAGATAAGAGAGGTACTAGGTATATGATAGAGTGACAGTAAAGACAATACCCATTCCAAGTAATTTCACACAGGCCCTGGGAAGTATAATATGAACCACACTGGTGATGTGTGTAAAGCAGATTTAATTTTAGTTCAAAACCAACTTGCAGTAGACTTTGAGACTACTGTGCTAAGACACCTGTATTTTTAGTGATGCTGTATAGCCTGGTAAAGGAAGAAGAGTGAAGAGCTCCAGTGCCTGACTGATGTGCCTGTGCTTTCGTCTGGTCTTCAGACAGGCCCCCTGAAGAACAGTGGTCACAAAGTGATAAAGTGTTTCCCTCTGCTTTTGTGTAATTTGAATACAAAAAGGCAGAGGGGGCTGTGTTTTGGGGTTTGTTTTTTTTTTTTTTTCTTTTGTATTGTTTTGGGTTTTTTTAGGGGTCAGGCTTTTGCCCCTGTCAGTAAGAGGAGTGGTGTGCTACTTGCAATTATTTGAACATAGGACAGGGGACAAAAGTGCTCCATTCTTTTTTATCAGCACCTAATTTTAATTGAGCTGCAGTTGAACCATTAAAAGATAAAACAGAAAACCTGTTCTGTCATACATGTAATGTGATCTGAGATCAGTGTCCAGCAGCAGAATTCATTGTCTTTTAAGATGGAAGAGACAAAGTGGTTCAAACATCAAGATACAGTAATTAAGAGATAAGATGATGGTGTTTGAGTATGGATGTTTGATATTGGGGAGAAGCATGAAAGCAGTAAACAGGTACTTACTGTTACTGAGTTCATACTTTGCCTGGATGGAACACTTGCATTTCAACTGTATTTAACCATTTTTGGACCAGCAGTGTAAGCAGAGAACACAGGCATGACTTGCAGGAGGAGTGTATGGCTGTAGTAAGCATGAGGCAGAATGGGTTTCTTGGCTACACACTATTTGCTGGGTGACACCTGGACTGCAATAGTAGGTAGTTCTATTCCTCTTTGGAACCCTGTGCATTGCAAACTGTCACTCATCTTTCCTCTGAGTTTTCATTTTGCTCTATGAAAGCAAACTTTTAAAATAAGCATATGACAACTTTTTCCTCCCTCCTTTGTAGTGGGCTTGTCTTGGGAGTGTGACAAGAGCTTTACTACACTGCAAGAATGTAGGCTCAGGTGAAAAATGGGTGTCTTGGGTGTTTGCCAAGTTCTCCCAAGTCCTGGAAAGAGTCAAAGATAGGCCCCTTTGCTGCAGAAACTGTGACAGACACCTTGCTGCACCACGTGAGGGGGTGCTAGGTGACAAACTGGTCTTCTAGCTTAAAGACCTTATTCCATCAGTGTCAAGCAATATTGCCACACAAGGAATGGTTTTAAACTGGCTGAGCACACAGTTCCCATTAAAAGAGGTAAGCACTGCCTGCAGGCTAGTGCAGCAGCTACAGTGAAAGCTGCAGAACCTCGTGAAAGCTCCAAGTTCTAACAGGCAGTGTTAAAACTGGGACTGTAAATACTTGGTAATGCCACCTTAATTTTTAAGAATGTCAAGTGTTACAAAACATCAGGCACTTACTCAAACATTAACTATGCTGGGCTAGCAGCATTGCCACACTTCAGATCTGGGGTGACCTACCTGAGTTAGTGCCTGCCTCTGCACTTACCTCATCTTTTGATATCAATGGGCTAACCTGAAAACACTGGGGACACACTTAAATTAATTCCACCAATTGTCTACTCCTATGCAACTTCCTACTATGAGTTTGTCACTTCATAGT